TATGTAAAATGTATTGAACTAATAAGCTTGAATACTATCCATCATATAGGAAAACATGAGCGTGCTAAGGTTCAACTAATCATATCAACGAGGATGGTAAGTAGTAATTTCTCAAAATCTCTTCGTCCGTTGAAGAACATGATACTAGAGCTTTTACTATTACATCGCGAAGCCATCAATATTAAAATTCCACTTGCCAATATAGTTTATTCGTATGCGTTTATAATATAGTTTGTATGCATAATTAGAAACTTACAATATATTTTGTGAGAATTCTGCATTACCTGCTTATGTCATCACCTGAGCTAAAACCGGTGCCAAAATCTAGATGTGGTAGTCAATGTGATCAGTATATTAATCATACCATGTCCGGATCATTGTCGCGTCCGTAGGTACGAGAATAGCACCTCCACGTGGTATGCACCAGTCATACGTACCTTGTTTATACAGTCTAGGGCCGCTCGTTTTGATAGTAGCAACTCAACAATCTCTGTGTGTCCTTCTTCGCATGTCCGGTGTAATGGAGTGCAACCAAACTGTTAGATGTGTGCAATATGGAAGCGAGATATATGCTAAAGTTTAGTACTCCACGTGTCACACTGGCGTCGCCATAGCAACGCTACTCGGCAGGTCGGTGCGTGACTGTACCACATGACAGACGGGAAGTTTCTGCTTGCAACACAATATAGCTTAACCTGATCCTTAGCTTTCACATTCGCACTATAGGCCACAAGAGCAGGCGCAATCGCTGTGTGTCCATGGATGGACGCTAGATGTAGCGGCGTCCGTTTGACCTGTAGAATGGAAATGAGAGACACGTGAATCAGCTAGTTTGAATAGAAGTGCGTGTTGGTATAAACATGCGTGTTTGTATGAATGCCCTTGGTGTGCATCTTATTAGGCTAATGAGATGATCAAGTGGCATTTTTACGTTGTTGTATATATGATGGTGACCAGTGTCCAGATATATTTAGTGTAGACTGATACCCAGCTTTCATGTCGTATCAGACGATGTATGTGCGGGGTGTGTGTACACACACGCGTGTGTGTGTGGGGAAGCTGTGTTGTTGAATCCATGTCTGTATCCCTGATGAGTTTCTTTCCACTCTTTGGGATCTTCTCTCCGATGTTTCTTAGTAGAGTCGCCCAAGATAAGATCCCAAAGGGTGATGAGAAAACTCGTTGAGGAAGTAGGCATGGGCATAAATGCAACATAAAAGGTTTCAGTTTGAATGTGTATTAATGCCGAAGTGCATTGTTTGCCAACATTGCTTATCATACTCTTTAGAGGGTACTATCTACATCATCTAATTGCAAGTTTACTAAGTAACAATAAAGCTCAGGTGTGCAGACATACATCAAAGCACTTACGACATGAGTGGCCTCCAAATCGGCCTTTTCGTTAGTAAGAAGTTGGTAGCAACTAGTAAACCGGCCCCAGAATTGTACTGTTGTAGGCAGAACCTTTTGTGAATCTCCGTTTCCATGGAAACCTGCCAGTTTCGTTCATGTCAAGTAAAAACATGATTAATGCAAACAGCAGTACAGCACATGCCCATATAGTGTCTGCAGCCAGCATTTAGCAATAAGACCCGCTATCATAATCCGTTACCATGGCAACCACAACAACCTCAACATCCCCAGTGCACTCCACCCGCACACCTGCAGATCTCGAGACTGTGTCCCCAATGACCACATCTACATCCACAGGAAATAGGGGGGACTGCAGCAAACAGTGGTACAGCAGCAGCAGCACATCACCCGACTGTAACGCAAATTAAACCGCAACGCAGCCATGCAGCAGAGAGGAGCCTTTGATGATCCCAACCTGACACTCTGAGTACCACTTGGCGTCTATGAAGACTTGTGTACAACTACAACCTCCTGCAGAGGCACAGAATACTGAATTCGGCCACATCGCTATTGGATCTCTTCCTGTTTGTTGGTACATGATGCTACTTATGTTAGTGTTTGAGGGGTTGTATCATAGATAGAACTGATAAATACATAGTCTGATTGCTGATAGTGCTCAGTACTGCGGCCAGGCTAAAGTGGCAGGTATTTATCTAACACGCTTTTGAGTCGAGACTCGAGAGTATGTCGAGTGACGACTTTTATATATTCATATATATATATATATATATTTAAATAAATACATTCCAGAGTTCAACCAACAAGAATATCCTTTTAGGTTTAGGGTTTTCCCAATGTTACAACATTATGGGGAAGACTGTGAACAGTGAACACTGGGATAAAGCAGGAGCAAGAACACATAGCCTTTTGGATCATACACACGAGCAGCAGTTTTTTAACTCTTACCGCGTCTTGGATGTATGTGCATATGCATATGTATGCATGTATGTGAACAGTATATATGCATAGGAACATGCACATGTATAACAATTATAATGTGCATACCATAGGTTTATTTTTCTAAAATTTATTATATATTGATCTATAAAAATCTTTAGCGTTTTAAGACCTAATTGTAAAAGTATATGTAGATTGATATTATTTTTAAACTTTACAGGATTGCGTTTACACGCAAGGCTGATGATTTCATTCATTTCATTGTGGCAAGTATAACTTTTGTAAACGACTTCCAAATACAATTCGCCAATTCCTCCTTGCACAATTCTGCGACAGAAGCTTTCCGGAATGTTCGAGTATGTCGCAAATATACAGTCACTGATACAAATCCTGTGGAACAAAAGTCAATGCCAGACGTAGAAGCAAGCAAGCAAACTCAACATGGAACGGAGGCGTACATCCCACAAAATATGTTGGGACCTGATCCTGCCTTCAAACCAACATGAGATGTTTAAATATAATCTGCACTTGATGCATGTGGAGACTTGAGAATTTCCTGCGATAAGAAGACATGGAGATTTTAGCCCCACATTTTCATTTTCTAACATACATGTTTGGGTTTGATATGCAATTAAAAATAAAAGGCTTACTAAATACCATAGCTTTCTAAAAAAAACAAGAAGGCTATGTTGTGACCCTATATTCACAGCCTCCTAAAGTAATTACACTATACTTGTATAATTTAGGAGGCTATGCTATTCAATGTACAATTTAGGAGGATGTATACAACTTTAAACTTAACCCTAAACCCTAAAATCACGTGGTATACTTGATGATGAGTGATTATAGTATAGCCTTCTGAAGTGTTTTTTTTTTAGACTGCTATGATAATAGGTGTGTGAATGTGTTCATTGTCACTTGAATCCTAAGTGAGATGATTTCAATCTTCGAGTCTTGAAGGCTTGTTCTCTATTAAGTAGTAGTGTATATTAAATCAATTTATAGCTCACAAGCATTTGCCACGCTTCCAACATTAATCAGTATGCTACTAAATACACTTCCACCAATGTTGACGATAGCATGTAGGTTACACTGTAATACGTCACATGACACGCTTCATTCGATTATTCCAGAACGACAATACCTTCATTTAGTCTTTTAATACTTAATACTTTTTATGACATTTTTTGTTAACTCGATACACTCACTGCCAACTAAATACTCTTCAATCAGAGTCGTCGGACCTGCCCACGGCACCCGTAAACTCAAAACTGGCCTGGAGCTCATATGCGATACGTGATGATCAGTACGTCGAATCTTCATGGGCCTTCAAGGACAATTATTGGATTATACTATATCAGGCTGATTTATACACCCAACTACCGAACTGGATCAGTCCCTGCAAAAATCAGTTTACCAACAAGCCCCACGCCTGGCTGACCGGACGAATTGCCGCCAAGGCATTTCAGTATTCTTTAATGGACGTATAGACCACGGCCTTGGGAACGCTGTAGATCCAGTGTTGGCCGTTGACAACTACCTGGATGTCTCGGTACTAGACAAGGTCCCGTTAAGCGGTCTCAACATTCGAGTGTAGGCGGCGAGTGAGCGTACACTTCCAGCACTGTCCACCGTGGTCTGCACATGTACCGCAAAGTACCGAACTTCATAACGTTCATCCTGATACTCCCCGAGAAGTACACCAGATGATCCACGCACGCAACAAGTGCGCCTACTGCCCCAACCACAACCACGTGAAGCTAGGTATGGCGACAGAGAGGCACAAAGGATAAAAGGAGAACAGATTACCTAAATCCTCTAAAGGCGGTGAAGGAGGACGAGATGGCATGGTGACACAGAGTTCTGAGCAAAATTTCGGTCAGTAGTTGATAGCTCTTTTCGGTTAATACACAGCCAGCATGGTCAACACTGCTACATGGACATGCTAACTTTTTCGCGATCAAACAAATTCCTATTACATGCACGCAGATGCAGAATCTAAACACGCCCATGAACCTAGTTTTTAATAGCTTGTGCCGGAATAAACGCTTAGCTATATATACGCCTACAAACCCGCCAACTAAACTGCACCCATACAGAGAACTCTCAGCGACCCGCCGCCAACCTCGTCTCGCACATAACTTATCGTACCATATTTTTAAGAAACCATAAGCGTTAAGTACGATATAGTAGTGGCAGAAGCACCTAACTAAATCGAGCAGCACCAGCACTATCCGCAACCAATTCTTGTCAGTCATATTTGTAATATTCTGAGTATCCTGTACGTTGAAAGTGGTGATAAAAACAACACTATTATTTATAATATATATACTGTGTTGTGGTTGTGACAAGACAGTAAAGATCAACGGTTGGAAGGTGGATATAAAATATAAAGACACCGACTGTGTTTGTTGTGTTGTGACTGACCAAATGACCAGGAGTCTCAAGTCTGGCATGGAACAGACTCAATATAGCGATATTATATTTTTGTTTAAAAAAAAAATAGTGTCAATCTAAAAATCGTGAATCTCGTGAGAAACTGAGAATCACACTTCTGTTGTACTGCGATAAAACTTCACCAATTGTTGCCCAATCAAATTCTAATTGTAATTTTCAAGCATTTTACAATTTGTATCAGTTATCACTTCACATTCCAATTTCCATTGGCATAAATTTTTCTTATTATTATTTTGTTTTAAATATATATATATATATATATATATATATGTTTATTACCGTGTGACGGGCGACTGCAAGCAAGAAGAGATGCGATTCACAATTAATCGCACAAGGTTCGACATGGAATTATATCAAAGTTAACTTTAAGTGCCAGAGATGAACGATTGGGACTATAAATGTTTCAAAGAGTGACGAAACGAATGTCGAATTGCACGAGATGAGAACACAAAGTGGTTAACGCATATTATTAATATATGTAGTTGATTACTGCTATATGTCGTTGATAAATCGGATGGGAGAATGTTATATTTCTGGTATATAATTGGTATATAATACCACAGAGGTTGGTATGTAATTGTAAATCTTTCGCTGGTAATATATATATATATATCCGCTTCTAAGGTGCAAAATGTTTAATGCGGCGCGAACGAGTGATGCGAAAGCTCTGAAGCAAATCCTGCGTGGCAGAGTCGATATGGATGCAACTACAAATAATAGTGTAGGTTTCTAGATCTTGTGCAGCTTGATTCGCATGCGCGCAGGAGACCAATAGATAAAATAAAGTTATCTACTGTCTTGCTGCATTTCATATCGAAAGGTTGACTCTGTGTGCAACATACCGCAGACTGTTCTACTTTAAAAAAAACCCATAATATTTAGTACACCTATCACCGTAGTCCATATGATACTCCTGTTCAGCCATGGACGATATATGTCTGCAAAATGGGTTGGTTTACTCATTCACTTTCTATTGGTCAGCCATTGAATGAAGTAACCACCTTGGTGCTTACCTATGTAGTTCCAGAGAACCCCACTACACGTCGCCTGTGAATATGGGTACGCTGAGATCATTCCCCTGCTCTTGGACACCGACGATTATCTGAATGAAAGCAACGAAGATCAGGTATGCCATCAATGTAGTAAGTAGCTTTTTATGTAACTTGTATGGCTGACAAATTGTTACACGTACTGTACACATACACCAATGATACTCTTGTAAATACAAGGGTTTTTTGGAGACGCTTTGGCTGCTGTCGCCAGAAATAGTTTCATATAAAGAAATACCATCATATCCAGGAGCTTCGTATACGATAGCTTCACATACGGTAGCTATATATAGATAACTGTATTTAATGATATACAGAAAACTGGCAGACCGAACTCACCTTATAT